TGAGAGCCATAGATGAGAGCAATATATGGACCACACACATGGGGAAGGGTGTGATAATCCAAGGAAATTGTACGAAAGTGACATTGGAAGGAATCTAAGAAGTCCAGCTGGCACACAGGGCTGGATGGTGGAGGGCATTCCAGACAGAGGGAGTATGAAGAGTCTTGCACACTATATGCATGGAAGGGCCAAGGAGATTATGAAGAGTGAGTGAGGTGAGCATCACTAGGAGAGGTAAGATACACGGAGAATGGACATGGCCAAGTTGTCAGTTGCCTTTAAGTGCCCCCGAAGGGCTTGTACATTATTTGAAGGACAAATAAAGGAGGTATTTAAATAAGGAAATTTTCTGGGGAAAGAATGGGGAAGAATGGAGACCAGGAAACGAGAAGGTCCATCTCTGGCTGTTTACCACATTCAGACATTCTCCTGATTGACAAGGCAATGGGTGCAGGGCTCACTCAGGATTCCTTTTGGGCATAAAACCAGTGAATCAGGTGCCACATTTAAGGCTTCTAGGAAAACGACTATAAAATGTGCAGTAAAAAGAAAGATAAATAATATTCCTAAAGTTTAATTAATCTCTCTCTTTATTTTGCCTACTTCAGTGCCATTCTGCAGTCCTGATGGGAAGGATCTAGACATCGTTCCATTAGTATATTTCACTTTTGTATCGAGCATCACAATTTACTGGTTTTATTTAGGGCGATGCACTTGTATTCGACATATTTACATCCGTCCCATTTATTATTCAAAACAATGTTACGCTTAGGTATTGAGGACCAATAAGACCTCCATAATGTTTAATCTGTCATATCTTTTATGGCAAGCTACAAGTATTTCAGGTTTGTTTTTATGGGTGGCTTTTGAAAAGGCCTTTACTCTGCTTTAGGTAAAAGGTTGGTTGGCAAAAAATCCCTTGACTATGTTTGCAGAGTCCTAATGGGGCCACGCAAAAATACAGAGGGAATTGTGAGTACCTCATTAAAGTGGTGTCTCTATCATTCTGATGCACTTACCTAGTGTGTACAAATTGTTATATGACAACGCACAAAAGCGTTTTTCTCTGTATCTCCTCTTCTTTCCCCTATCTCCCTTTTGAAATAAGTGTGGTGGTTTTTGAGGAACTTTCCATAGCTTGAGACTTCTTCGTTGTTTGAAACTAGTAAGTGATGACTCTGTGCCTGCAGAAATGAGGCATCACCAATCCCTTCATCCAATCATGGACACTGCAGAAAGCAAAGCCTCACAGCCTGCAACCTTCCTTTCCCTTTAAGATGTATTTGGGCTGAAGGGCTTCTGTTGCCCACGGATGAAGAAAGAGATGACTGAAGGCTGTTCTGATTCTCAGTTTTAAGATGTCTGACTTTTTAAGGTACTGTATTTTAATTTAGATTTCCCATTAAATCACTGTATCTGCAAGTTCCAAGGGGAAACAAATCAAGGAGCAACCATTCTACTTGGCTCTATCTTGATTAAAACAATGTCAAGACAAAACAGCAAAGTTCACTGGTAGTTCAACCTTTCTCCTGCCTCTACTAATAGGTCAGTGGCCTATCATTGAGGAAGGGGTGTGGCATGCTTTTCCTTTATTGGCTTTTCTGCTTGTTTCACATAGGTTGTTAACCACCATTTCCAACCTTTCCAGACACAGAGTTGGGAAGATAAATTCCTCCTTGAATGGTACTGTCCTAGGATGAGCTGGCGTCTCATAGCTGTCTATGGATTTTTGGGGTCTCTTGGAAAATTCGCTTTATTAAGATGTCTCACTACATTTTCATCTGAGTCACCTGTATTTCACGTCCTCGGGTCATAGTGACAATAGATACCTTCTCAGCAAATGCATTTACTCACTTCCAGAGGCTTTCAACAGAGTACCTAGCCTGACCTCAAACTGGCTCTTGGTGAGCGACCCACTTTGATCCAGGGGAAACACACACATCCTTCACTCTAACAAATTCATGGAATGGACCACAGATCTCAGTACAGATCTTTACTTTGACTCGACTGACAGTAGCTAAACACAGTTCTTGGTGCCACTGGTATCTTGGGGATTAATTAGTTCATTGTGTGTTGCGATTCTATAAACAATTCACAACTACTGTCGAGCTTAGTGGAACATGCATCCGCTTCACTGTGGGGCTTAGCGGGATCTGTACAGAGAAATCTTCATGGGCCCACAAATTCCATTCTTTTCGTATATGTTCATACTTATGCAGTTGTGAGCACATGTGACGGAGGGTGCTTATGTGCACGTGCATTTCCACACACATATGGAAGGCAGGTGTTAGGTGAAGTCCCTGCCTAGATTTCTCTCTATGTTGTCTTTGGCCACAGGGTCTCTCATTCAACTTGGAACTCATAAATTTGTTTGGCTGGCAGGCAAGTAAGCTCTAGGGGATGTACTTGTCTCCAACCCCTGTAATCCATGCTGAGATTACAGACATGTGCCAGGATACAGTGTTTACATGGGTAATGTGGATCTGAATTTGGGTAACATGCCTGAATAGCATGTACTTTACCTACTGGGCCGTCACCTCAGTCCCTGAATTCCATCCTTAATACAGTTATACCTTTGGGAGATATCAGAAGCCTAGGAGTTTCTCTCACAAATAGATGAAGAAAGGATAAGAAAAGGGAGAGAAAAATCTAGAAGTTAATTCTGCAAGTCAGTAATCACAGCGAAAGCAAAGCAACCCCTGAATCAAATTTCTTTAAATTACATTCATCATCAGTCAGAAAACAGATGGTTGTCAAAACAAATTTTCCGTGTTTGGAAAGGTTTGCTTGAGACCACATGAGATATTAGCATACTTTTCAGTTCCTGTCTTTGTAGAGGAAATATTTTTTTCCAAGTTTTACAGGAATGGACTATTTTCTGAATCCACTGAAGGGAGATCAAAGTTTCAAGAGTTTAACATGCCACACTTAATGTCTTAGCAAATGTAAATTGGCTTAATGAGTCCTTCTAAACCCTTTTACTTTAGAAAGGTGTCTATGAAACTAGTCGTTGATATATCTTAAATTAGAATGTGAAGACAGTATAAACAACCCAGGCTAACTTAATATGCTAAGGGAGAAAATTATAAATGCCACCTGCAAAAATAAATGTCATCAAAAATTCGTCGTAAGAGAAAAATACGGCAAAAATTATGCTGCACATACTTATTTGCTAACTGTTCAATGAAGTTCAATGAAGGTGAACTAATGTGGTTAAGATGAACCTCCCTTTGCTCTTAAAATGATGATAATCCAGTGTAAGCGACAAATATGGACACATGCATGCCAATATGAGCATAGAACGTCAAGCCAGGGTTTCCAAACTTTAATATATTTAGGAATCATATAGGGTTCAGGTTCAGTGTTCCTACAACATCTTCACAAATTCTGCTTCTGAATTTCAGAGCATGTGTTCCAAAGGTGTGTGTGTGTGTGAAGGAACATTCTTCAGATAGAAGGCCACTAAAGCAACAGTCACGCCTCTGTCTCCCCACAATAACCAAAGCACTCACCCTGAGCTGCCACACAGCACACCTTTACAAGTCATTATGAAAAAAATAAATGAGTGTGTGTGGTTAAGCTTAATGGCACATGGTGCATGCAAAATGTGATGTGGAAATTCAGAAATAAAGTCGGTTTGCAAGCTTTGTTTTTGCAAATTAAATTACTTTTTAAAGACATTGTCTCTCTGTGTAGCACAGATTAGTCTGGAACTTGCTGTGTAGCCTAGATTGGATTGTCTCAACAATTCTTCAGTCACGGCCTCCTGAGTATTGGGCCTTACCGGCGCATACTACCATACCCTGCTGAGGTTCCCTTGAGGAAACAGGTTATCTTGGGTAGGACTAGACGATGCTACAAATGACTGGGGATAATGTTGTAGATAGAAATATCTGTGGAATGGGAACTAAGTGAGTTTGACTGCACCCTTTGCTTCACAGGGAGTTCGTTTCCCTCCGCTAACTTGTAGCATTTGGCCCTCGAGGGCCTGGTCTCCATTCCATTATCCTAAATAGTGTCATTGTTCCATCCAAGAAAGACTCGGAGCTCCATAAAGCCCACCATGGCAAGCTGAGTTTCCTCTGATGTGCAAGCGGAGCAGCTCCTCTGGGAATTGCCAAGACAAATTAATTGTAGCTCTAACAGCGAAAAACATTTTAAAATGTAGCACATCACATGGAATGTGAAAGCATGTGATTGCTCTTTCCAAACCCAAATCTTTTCACGGAGGCAATGATGATTATTCTATAACACCCGCAAAGGCTTTGTTCATAGTAAAACAGACCACTGGACTTAAAGATAAAATGAAAACATTCTGATGCCTAGGCAATATATGAAATTTAAAAAAATAAAATCTTGGAGGAATAGTATGAGGCTTTGAAAGAAAAGATTAGCTAAGACAGTCGAGTGGGGGGGATCTCTTCTGGGACCTTCCTAGACCCGAAGGTCTCAGACAGCACAATCTTGGGACTGCCTGTTCCGATCTGTGGTAATCTGCTGGGTGACTTGGAACCATCACTAAGCTTCTCATACACTGACATATGGGACTCTGTGACTTTAAAGATTCCCACTGGTTTCATTCTTTCACAGTGTAAAATTCCACAAAGTGAGGAAGGACAGGGAGAAAAGGGGGAAGGAAAAGAAAGAGGGTTTTAATTAGTTTATTTTCAGAATATCATGTTTTATTAAAAATCTGAACATTTTGTGTCTTTTTAAAAAGTAAAAGTAAGATTTTTATTTTCTTAGATTAAGTCTTCTGGCTGGCCTGGGACTGGCAATGAGAGCCAGACTGGCCTTGAACTCACAAAGATAAACCAGCCTCTACCTCCCAAGTGGTGTGATTAAAGGCATATGCCAGTGAAAATCGCTTTAATTCAATTTAACTCACAAATAAAAACAGCACACATATAGCCTAAGGGAGGAGCTACCCAAATACTTGCCCAGTCCAAAACTATGCACCTGAGTCTTTAGAAAACATAAATTACATTGCAGTCACACACCTGTGTCTGTTTAGGGCCAATATCCATCCTCTGCAGCAAGTCGTTTAAAAAAGCTATGACACTCTCCCAGGGGTAGATGCTGTTGGAGCCATCCAGGACAATGACTATGTCCAGCTGGGTGCTGCATTCTGCAACAGAAGGAAACGGTGTGTGAGTTTGAAACCTATCTTCTTAGGAGAAAATCAAGAATTGGTCTAAAGACTCGTCTTAAAAGATATGATGGTCTTGAAAGCGCAGCTATTGTTCTTATAATATTTTAGAATAAAAATAAGTGGTCAGAAATACTGTATTTGGTTATAATCAGTTTGTGCCACAGAATTCCTCCACCCTCTTTCTGAGACAGGTTTCTCTGTGTTGTCCTGAAACTCACTCTGTAGACCAGGCTGGCCTAAAACTCAGAGATCTACCTGTCTTCGCCTCCCAAATGCTGGGATTAAAGGTATGCCCCACCATGCCTGGCCTTTTAATTTATTTTTATTAAAGATATACATGTAACATTTGCAAATTTTCTCATCACGAGTTTGATGCTGTTTTTATTCTGTACATCTCAAAGGAAGTTATTCTCTTCAAACAGATTCACCCTTCAAATACAGGCAGCCTGGTCACATTAGCCGCAAACTTTAAACATGATTGTCACGGTTATTTACACTAATATCAATTCCAAAGAAAGGAGCAAAGTTTGTTTATATACTGGCAAAGCAAACATTTGCCCAGGTTGGTAATATTAATAGAGATGGCTTTCAAACATGCAAGGAACATTGCATAAAATGCATACCTTGTACAGGGGCGAATGAGTTCACAACTTGAAATGTAGGGCTGACGTCAGAACAGATTCCAGTTGTATAATGCAAATGTCCACATCTATAGGCGTACAGAGGCCCACATGCCTTTAAAAAAATGTAAGAAAATCTTTAAGACTGAACATCGCATAACAGGTCTCAAAGACATAAATAGCTACACTCATTTTTTTTTTTTATGAAATATATTACTCTTTTTCTCTCTCACCAGAAATCCTCCATTTGGGTTGGTGACTAGAGTTGATCCAAATGTCATGTTTTCTTTTATTTCTGTGACATTGGGGATCGATGTGTTCACTACAAGACAGAGCAAAATTTCATGAGTGTAAAAAGAATATGTTTCATAATATGAGGTTAAGTTCATTAAAACATTCTATTTGCTTTGCTCATCTCTCGCAGCACATTCTTGTTTTGGTTCAGCTAAACAGACTTCCCGGTACTGGGGAATATAATGAACAAGTTCAGGCTCAAGAACTGGCAGGTGTCCCAGAATCTCTGTATCACTGTTTCAAATAGCTTGGCTGGACTGCGAAGGAATGCAGAACTAGCAGATGAGAATGTGGGATTGGTTTTCACACGTCTTTGCTAATTGAAACAAATGCAACATTTAGCTTCATAAGAGTATAGAGACAATGTATGTTCTCTGTTATAAACAAATGCAACATTTAGCTTCATGAGAGTATAGAGACAATGTAAGTTCTCTGTTATAAACAAATGCAACATTTAGCTTTATGAGAGTATAGAGACAATGTATGTATGTTCTCTGTTATAAATGACAGAACTGCACTTCAGGGAGGAAAATAGAATATGCATAGAACAGAAAAGTCAAACAAAACATTTTTATCGTGACTTTCGTTGAGAAAGCTGGACCAAGATGAGAGAAGCATCCGGGAAGTCTGGATAGAGAGAACATGGTAAAGGGGCTACATTAGATGTTCCAAATAGGAATGTTGGGTTCCACAGCGTTCCAACCTGACAAAACTGGCAAGAAGTGCTCCTTACACATCCACGTTAAAAAATGAAAAGACTGGACAAGAAAGTGAAGGCTTTTTAAGTTCTGCTTGGAGTGGAGTACACAGATATTTGAACGGGGCATGATTCAAGACTAAGAAAAGACTTGTAGCACTGTTCATGGCTGCACATACTCTCAGCTCCGCCTTACAGGAGCCTTACAGGTTCCTGGATGGCCCGTCTCACTTCCTACTCTCAGACCAGGTTCTGGTCAAGGATTCTGTCTGTCTTGCTTTGAAAACATCCCTTTTTTTTTTCCTTCCAATTTTCTCCTATTGAAAATAGATTCTCCTTTCATACACTGTCCTCTGATTGCAGTTTTGCCTCGCCCAGATCCCCCCGGGGCCTCCACGCCTCCCTCCCATCCACACCTTTCCATTCTCTCACTGGAAAACAAACAGGAATCTGAAGAATGATAATAAAGTTAGATAAGGTAGGATGAAAGAAGACCAAAATGAAATAGGGCAAACAAACATAGGGGAAAGAGACACAGAGACACCGAGACACACATGGGAACCCCATAAAAATCACAAAGCCGGCAAAATAGTAATATTTACACAATGGACCTGCAATGTTTAGGTAAATAAATACATAAAAAGACCTGAAAAAACATTGTCAGTCAAAGGACCTCCAGACAAAAGCATCTTGAATCGGGCTGCTCTGTACATTGCTATCGAATGACCTGTAGTTGAGACTTTAAATGAGGGTGGTGTAGGACCAGCATTGCTGGGACAATTAGAACCATTGCAATGTTTCTTATTGTTAAAGTTCTTTCTAGGCTAGTTTAAAAACTATTCTGGTTCTCAGGGACGGAGGATAAATCCTAGAAACGCGGGAAAGATGCGTCACGTGGAAGTGACGTCAAGCATCGGGTTCTACAGAGGACTCTGTACGTGGGAACAACGGGCTGACCCTGCGCTGCTTGGTTCTGTGTTTCATTCCGGTTTTCATTCTTCTGTTCCCCTTACAGAAAGACTCTACTAGGTAATAAAACACAAATGGGAGTTCCAGGCTTGGAGAAAAGGAGGATAGAAATTTAGGGTCAATGTCAGCATGGGCAAAAAGAAACAGGGAGTATCTTGGGAAAGGAATCATAAAAGGAAAATTATCACATATGTATATGTATTCTGCCTATACATCTGGATTGCCAGAATAGGCAATGTGAACAGTAGTGCCACACAGCCCAGTGGAAATAAAAAGAACCAAATAGAACTCTAAGAACTTATTGCTGGAAAAAAATTCAGAATCTGGGAATTGTGTTCTGCAAAATATATTCCTTGTTGATAAGAAATAATAATAATAATAATAATACCACTCAAAGGAGCATAAACAACTAGGATTTCTATACTTATAATTAAAAATGTAGTTCAGTTTGTGTTCCAAAAAAAAATGAATAACTAAGGAGAGGCCAATGTCCAGAGAAGATAGCAAATCAGAATGTAGTATTGAAAGAGTCCTTAATGTTTCAATGGTCAGGCAAGGGTATCCTTACATCTATGGTAGCTGTGTTCATGAATATAAAGGGGGAATAGTCATAATAAACAGAGACATTAGAAACTGAAAACCAGAGAACTGAAAAAAATGCATTATCTACAGTGAACTTGTAGGGATATAGATAATTTAATTGTTTTTAATAATGTACAGATACTGAAGGAAGTCTATATCCTCTCTAATTTTAGGAGACATTTTCTAGTCATACTACAACCAAAGTGATATTTCTATCAAAACATTTTGGTATAACTATATCTCATGTTTTCTTTTTTTTAAAATCTGTTAATAAATTTAATTAATGCAATTTCTCTCATTCATTTTCTCTTAAAGACTCTGGTACTAAGTTACATTTTGTTCAAGGAATATGACAGAATTTGACAATTTGTTTTCAAAGTATCCTGAACAATGATAAGAGGCAAAATTGCAAAAGGAGTAAGCTATTTGGAATCTATGACTGTCTTCCTGATAAGTTATGGAAACAAAGTAAGGGCCGAGGGATCCATGATGTTATTCTAAATGAATTATAGACAGCAATTGCAAATGGTCATTTATTTCTTTTAATATACTATATTTTATATTATAATAAAGAGTAATATTTTGAGTCACTTGAAAGCTTTTTTTTAGTGAGAATATGGGTATGAGCTGGGATGGACTATTTGGTTTTACATACCTGGTAAATCCAACTTCATGCAAGGCATTGATTGCTCTCTCCCAACTGGGCACTTATAGACATCTCCAGTTCTTGCTTTGGGTTGACCAACTAAAGGAGAACCAATAAGAACCCTGGAAGTTGAATAAAGCAATTAAAACTTTTAAAAGTAATGAGACATTTGTTTTTATTTTATGGTAAATTCTAAGACAGTTGTTCCCCTAAGCTTCATGTGACCCTGTTGGTAATTTAATGTCATCTAAAATACTCAGAGTATCACCGACACATTTCAGATTTCTAATGTTGCTATAAATCTTAGCAATCAGTCTGGTTATCATTAAGAAACCAAACAACAAATGCTAGCAAGGAAGGATGTAGAGAAAATGAAATCCACATAGACTACATTGAGTACAGCATTGCACATCAGTGAAGGTCCCTTAAAAACTTAAGGTGGGACTAGAGAGCTGGCTTAGTGGTTAGTAGTAGGACTTGCTGCTCTAGCAGCTCCCAAGTATCTGTAACTTCAGTTCTGAGGATCCGGTGCTGTCTTCTGGTCTCTTGAGCACTGCATGCACACGGTGTACAGACAAACACACATGTTAAACACTCATACACGTAAAACAACAACAAATACATATTTTAAACTTTAAAAAAAGAAGTACACATTAAAAAGTAACTAAAAGGCGCATTAGCATCTGATCCAGCTGTAACACCATATACAGTTGAAGGGTTTTCTAAGCCAGCATGTACAGAGATACTTACACATCCATGTTTATTGTTACACCACTTACAATAGTCAGGATATGACACTGGCCTTGATGCTCATCAAATGAACAGATTAAACATATGTAGTACAGATGAGCATGCATGCTCTCTCTCTCTCTCTCTCTCTCTCTCTCACACACACACACACACACACACACAGGTGCATATATAATGGAGTTTTCTTCAACTGTAGAGAATGAAATTATAACATTTGCTGGAAAAATGGAACTAGATATCATAGTGTGAATCAAAATAAATCAGATTTGGAAAGGTAAGCATTGCATATTTTCTCTTGTGAGTAGAAACTAGATTAAGATGTCTTCACATAGCTGTAGATATACGGCATGAAGGTAGAGGGGGAAGCACGTAGGGAGAGAGGAATTTTTCTTTTTTTAAGTGGGAGGATAATGTGGAGAAAGACAGACATCATGTTCTCTCTGCTATGCAGAGTCTAGAGTTTAAGGATGTTCACATGACATGAAAGGTTCAGGGGCTTGTTTGCAAGCAGTGGACTCTGCAATAGGAGAAGGGGAAAGGGAGACGGGGAAACCATGTGTGTAATGTCGGCACCACTAACCGTGAGTTTCCATACTAACAAAACCTAATCTACATAATTAAGAGATGCATACGCGATGTAATAGAGTTTGCTCTGTTGTTTTGTCTATCACTGCCATATTTATCACAGCTAAGCCTGCTATTGTGTTGCTATAAATGAGGTGATTTTTTTTTCTTAAGAAACTGCCAGTTTCAGAGAAAACGGCAAACATAAATATGAGTTCATCCTGCGATTTAAAATGAGAAGGTCTTATATTATAAGCACCTGAGAAACCAGGACAGTGCTGAAATCCAGGATAAAGTCTTGTGTCTTTTTAGACCACATTCTGAAATACTCCATCACTGATGAAAATGGAGCTATGTTTCAATTCCTCTCCACTTCAGGCAACATTCAGATTTGTACCATTCATTTACATAGTTCCTCCACCCCCCCCCCAGAAGATCTTCAGGAGAAGACATTTCAGTATGCATGTAATTAAGGTCCTTGGGTGGGTCCCCAACTGATGTTGTGTTCACAGCTAAACAGCTGCGTTCACTCTCCAGGACTCTGTCTATCATATACTATAAAACTCTGAACTTCAAGATTGTCTGAGACTTATATTCTTATGAGTTCAGAGAAGACACAAAAGACATTCAAGTATTTTAAACCATGTCTATAAATAGTTGGGGATAGAAATATGCCTCAATATGCCAGAATAATGAACATAGATTAACTAAGGTTTAATAGGAATGCAGTTGAATAACTTTTCCAAACTGCACACTACTGTCTATATTCGTACAGGATGTTGTGGGAAAGTCTGATTTAATGGGAGTTCTTGTGAAAAGTCATGGAGGACTTGGTTGGCAGCACAAAAGCATGAGCCAACAGTGTATCTGAGTGCCAAATATGCTAATGTGACCTTAGGCTGGACTGTTGGAAATACATGTGCTGGTCAAAGAAAGTGACATGCCCTCTGTGCCCTGCCCTGGTCATGTCTGGACTCCTCACGGTAATTGGAACATGGGCACAATGGAACACATTTAGGAGACTATGACTCAGACGGCTGAGAGCCAGGCAGTTTTGTCAAGGAAGAGATGGTCTAGAAAAATTGGGACATTTAGCTAGGAGGAAAATGCCCAGAGAAGGACTAAAATGTTATAGAGGGGTACAAATAGCTCAAGCAATCACTTCAACAATTTTGCATACTTGTAAGACTGGCATGCTGATGAAGAATGGGGTTTGTTTTCTATAAATTCTTTGTAAGAGCATTTATTAGTATAAATAAATGTATAAAATTATAAATATCGAACTATTAGGCAGAATCCCTTAAACACACAGTATGATGTACTGGCTGAACCATTTCTGATGTACACAAAGAACTGTAAGAATATTTCAGTCTTGTAGGCTACAATTCTTACTTCTAGGAATCCATCATTTAAAATGGTCTAAAAATGCAAAAGGAAAAGTTAAGAAATAAGGATGACAGGTGATTTCTGTAAAACCTTGTGTTGCCTACAAACCAGAACTTAATGAGTGTGTACAATAGGGTGACCATTTATCTGAGGCCTAATACAAAGAGAAAGACCATCCAATTTAAGTGAAAAACTGGTCTAATTTAAAGGAGAAGAAAGCAAATTATTAAACTCATTACAGTAGCCCTGATAACACCCAGCATTTATTGACTTTATGCCATGTGCCAGACCGCCCTAAGTGCCTTCCATATACTGAATAATTAAATTTTTCTCTGTAGAAGATAGCATGAGCTTTAGTGACAGGCTCTGTGAGTACAAACCATGACTTCAGTGTTTACTAGATGCCTGGTTTAAGGTAAGTCAGTTACCTTAATTTCTTTGTGGCCAAAATGAAGGCAGATCCTTATCTCACAATTATCATCACGAAGGTTAACACAGTTAAGACGTAGAAAAGGCTCAGAACAGCACCGAGTTCCTATTATAGGTTCCCTAAATGTCAGCTCTTTCTGTTGATGTGTCTTTACTTCAGATTAATAACAATTAATATCTATGTAACACACTGACTTAAAAGAGGGTGTAAAAACACAACACATTATACCTAGGAGATTAAGACTGGTTTCTTTTACAGTATTTTGCTTTGTATAATATGGATGCATAAATTTACGGTTAAAGACAGTTTAGAGAAACTAGTATATGCTTATTGAAACTATTTACCATCAGGCTAGATAAGTTACTGCTTATGGAAAATGGGGCTGGAGAGATGGCTCAGTGGTTAAGACTGACTTGCTGTCCTTCCAGAAGGGTAATATACCCAAAACACACATCTGGTGGTTCTCTACTGCTAGACACTCAAACTCTCCAAGATCGCACTATTCTGTCCTCTGCAGAAACCAGCACACACGTGGCATAAACTGTGTGCACTGTGTGCACGCACTGGCATGCACTGGCATACACTCATGCACATCAGTAAAAGGAGAGCAGACTCTAGATAGGCATGGGGGTGCATGTCCTGATGCTGGCTTGGGAGGTATCAGGAAGAAGAATGGGAGATCATAAGTTCAAGGCCATTTCAGCTACAAAGTGAGTTTGAAGCCTTCTTGAGCGATATGGGACACAACTGGAAAAAAACAAAATGGTGCCTCACATTTAAGCTAGGCCATGAGATGGTGATATATAAAAAGGGATAAAACACAATATTTCAAGTGTCTTAAAACTGAAGCTCGAGGCCAAGTGTATGCATTACAGCAGTGAAGGAATCTGAACTTGGTGGGAGTTCAGCAAAGTCATAGGAGAGAAGCGTACTCTGTCACTGAGTGCATGCAGTTCAGGGCAGTGCAGATGGACAGGAGTTGAGTCCAGGAAGTAGGTGAGGTCATGTCTCTTATGTTCATTTTATAGCATGAACGCCAATTCAGTAGCTGCAAATAGATGATTTCCTTGAAGCAATGAAGATCAAAGCCCTATCATAAAGAAATGCACAGCTCCAACTGTCTACAAGTTTCTCTTTCTTGCGCTACCTAGCACTCCAAACTGTAGCCTTCCTAATTTTTAAGACAAGCCTGTTCCTTTCTGCAGTTCTTACGTGGTCAGGGATTTACTGCCTCTCCTGTAATATCTACTTTTCTGGATTCTTTCTGACAATCATTAAGCATAAAGAGATTGGCTCCATAGTACATTTCTTTTGCTTTAAGTACTTGATGATTTGTTGAAAAGATGAGTCCAAATTTACTAGCATAGCCTCATCTCCTTGATTTTTTGCCAAGCTACTTGAAGTAAAGTGGCTGCCAACTCACAGCTTCTTCTGTTCCCTACCGATATTCAGGACCCTTTCGCTTCTCTGATGTCTGTGCCACCACTGGTTTTACAGACACTGTCCACATCATATGATGGGAGTCACACTATCTTGGACCATCTGGATTTGGTTGGGGTGCCAAAAATCAAATGGAAGAACCCTAGGAAGAGAAGAATACCATAGCCCTTAAAATCTGGAGGTCATATAAAATCAGTGATTCATTAAGTCAGTAAGTGTTGGGGTGACTGGTTATGCAGCAACAATACATGAAAACAGAGAAGCAATTTCCTGTGCCTCTGGCTGTTACAATCTTTCTTGCCCTCCTGCAGAGGACTCCCTAGGCCTTGGGTTCAGGAGTTGTGTTGTTGGGACCGGGCTTCCAATCTTGGTATTTTGAGTAGTTGTGGTTTTCTGTAATTGTCTGTGTTGTAAAGAGAAGTTTCCTGAATACAACCAGAGAACTATGTCTGTGGGTAAGATTCCAGAGGAACAGGAAATTTGCTGTGAGATTGTGTCTCTAGAAATTCAGAGAAGCTACATCTATGAAGTCTCTCTCTCACCAACATGGCT